GCCAAGATGGCGGCTCCCGGGGCGGGGGGCGCCGGGGCGCCTCCGCCGCCGCCCCCTGAGGACGAGCCCCCCGGGGCTGCCCCCGGCGCGGCCGCGGCGGCGGGGCGGGAGGAGCTGCTGGCGGTGACGGAGGAGCTGGTGCAGAGCCTGTCCGCCCTGGAGGGCGGCGCGGCGGGGAGCGGCGCCGTGCTGTACCTGCGGGCGGACGGCAGCGCGGCGGAGGGCACGGGGCTGCTGGAGCGGCTGCTGGAGAGCCCCGGGCCGCCCCTGCCGGCCCGGCCCGCCGCCGCGCCGCTGGCCCCCGCCGAGCTCCGGCGGGTCATCGAGCAAGTGAGCAAGGCCCAGGAGCAGCAGAAGCCGCTGGCGGCCGCCGCCGCCGCCGCCGCCCCCCCTTTGCAGCCGTGCCCGGCGGGCGGCATCATGCAGAACGCCGCCCGGCAGCTGCAGAGCGTGGCCCAGCAGGTTGCCCTGCAGCAGGGCAGGGCCGCGGCGGCCGCACGGCTCCTCCCGCAGAAGGTAACCCAGGGGCTGGGCGGGGAGGGAAAGAGGGAGCCTGCCGTACCCGCTCGGTGCTGAAATCCACGGCTCCGGCGGGTTTAATTGCTTAATTGCTTTAAATATATTTCTTTTTTTTTTTTTTGCCTTCCTCTTCAGTAACACCTGCCCTCGGGTGTAGACTCGAGTGCCACAGCTCAAAGACACGGGCTTCAACGTGGTTTAGGAAAATCTTTGTTTGAACGTAGCTAATAGCTGCCGTGGTCAGTGTTTCTGTCTGACAATATGTGCAGCGAGAACTGCTTAGAAGGGATGTTTCACAGTAGTGATGCACAGGTAGATAATGTGTGCCCCTCTTACAAGAAAGAAGGTGACAGTACCTCTGCTTTCAGCCCACTTTTTGGGGTGCAGGGATTGTCAAGTGATTGATTTGAGTTGAGGCAGAACTTTGGATGAGGAGGAGAGACTGTGAGGGACATGATCAGTAACATGTACCTTTTCTGAATCATCACCACGAAGTTTTTTTGAAGTGAGGACATATTACAGTGCGTTCTGGACCAGGTGTTTGGCCTGTGTCATGTAGCACGCTGTAGTTCTCCTGCATGTGGGGTTTGCTGAAGGTTATGAATGTGCCTTGGTGATGGCGTTGACTCTGCTATTCCAGACAGGCCTGCTAGCAGGAAACAAAGCTGTGACATGGCCTCAGAGCAAACTTTACATGCTTTAGTTGAACAGCAGTCACAGCAGTAAATGTGCAGGAAAACCCGTAGCTGGAAGGAAGGGAATTTATGCTTTGATGTTAAATCTGTGCTTTGATGCATTAAAATGGAACACTTATGACGTGCAGTGGTTTCTCCAAGCTTTTCTTTAAGGGCATGTGTGTATTATCTTGATAAGTACTGTATTTATTAATACTGTATTTGTGTAATTGCAACTCTTCCTTTTTTCCACAAAAGCAGCTGGAAGCCATTTGTGTCCAAGTTCAGCCAGGACAGATGAAGGAAACTGAAAGGCCAATGACATCATTGGCACCAATCCAGTCCAAAACTATAACGCTGAGTCAGCCGGTTGGTAGGAATTCTAGCGTGCCAGGACTTGGCATTATTAATCCCCAGATAATTAGGATACAGCCTGTTTCAGGAACTGAGCAGCAGCAGCTATTCCTGCATAGTTCTTCCGAGTCTCCAGTTCAGTTGCTTATGCAGAGACCTTTGCCATCTCATGGATCAGTGTCTGTGAACAAGATTCCCACATCTAAGATGGTAAATGGACAGAAAGCTACTCGTGCCGCAGTGTCGGCTTCAAGGTCTCCAAACACTACCGTGGTTGCAGCCAGTTCAAGTACACTATGCCTTGAAAAAAAGCAAAAGGATGACAAGTTAAAAAAATCCTTGAAGGTGAAAACTCGTTCTGGACGGATTTCACGCCCCCCCAAATACAAAGCTAAAGACTATAAATTCATTAAAATGGAGGATTTGGCTGATGGTCATCAGTCTGATTCTGATGACTACTCTGAGCTGAGTATAGAAGATGATGAAGAAGGAAAGGTGAAGGGAAAGGATGCATTATTCAGTTCTTCAAATTATAATCTGAAGCCCAAAATGTTTAAATGTCAGACTTGTGAAAAATCTTACATAGGAAAAGGAGGATTAGCAAGACATTATAAACTTAACCCAGGCCATGGACAGCTGGAGTCTTCACCTCAAAAAATACCTCTAAATAAGCCTAATGGAAGTATATTTGTGGACAATGCCTGTGGAATAAGAGAGGAAAGGATGAGTCCAGCATGTTTGGATTCAATTGCTGTCACTTTAAATCATCAAAATGCACTAGCTACCAATCTGGAAGAAACCGTTGATTCGAAGGCTGGAGAAAAGGTAAAGTGTTACTTGGAAAAGCTGTCAGTTCTGTGGGAAGTAGAATGGCAGTTCTGCAGCCGTATAGTCTTGTTCTGCTCAGAAATACCCACTGATACACTACATTAAACAAATTTCCTGTTGAAGTGCTTTAAAAATCAAATTGTCTCTTGCAGTTTGCAGGAATAGTACTCTTGCACAGACACCTGCAACTGAATGTTCACTGAGTGTTCATTTGTTACTGCCTACAGTTTTCACCTTGTCTGCATAAATACATTCTTCTCTGCATTTGGATAAGAACACTCTTATTCAGTTACAGCCTTTAGCATGACAGCAGGACATTATCTGCTCTATCAATTTCTGTTACTGCAATAGTGTCATCACAAAAATCTATTTTCCACACAGCAGTGGACTGCAGCTTTTCCTAGAGCAGGTGTTCAAAGCCTGGCTTTGAAACCCTGCATGCCAAATACTCTGGTGAAACTTGAGTCTCTGGGTTGGAAGCTACTTCAGCTGCAAATTTTTTTCTGTGATGTTTTAAGCTGGTAACTTAAAAGTTTCTGTTTTAATATTTAAATGACTCTTAGCATCTTGCAGCAAGAGCTGATGCAGCTGCTGTCTAGGAAAAAGTACTCATTTAGATGTAGGAGTGTCACATTTATTACTTTAGTTTGTACTTATGAAGTTGTTCTCAGGAAAGCAAAAATGTACAGCTTATGTTGCCAGTGCAGCAACCCAACCTCCCCTCATCCTCTACACTAATCTATCATCTTTGGAAAAAGAGAACTGCAGAATACTGAAGTTTCCTCTTTGAATTATTGTAGAGTTGTTACTTCCCTGTACAGCACTTATTTCACCTAGGATGATGAGGATTTAGAAAAGACTTAGTCTTGTATATTATACTACTCCTGAATCCTAGATTGTGACTGTACCTGCTGCTTTTAACTAGCAAGTTCTACAAATGTGTTCTACACGTTTGCACATAAACTCATTGATATGTTACAGGTTTTAGTCAAGTGAATACTTCCTAGAAAGAACAGCAGGATTATTAAAATTGTTACAGTGATACAGACAGGAAGGCAATCAAGATCCCCACGCTCAACCTAGTCTGATGTCATATTTAGAACTAATTTAGTAACTTAATCCCTGGATAGAACTGACATAAATTTGCCATTTTTAGAGCTTTCCTAATCAGTAGAATAGTAGGGAGCTACTGAATGCTGAGGTGCAAACGTACAGATTATGCAAAGAAGCCTGATATACCTCAGTACTATTATAAACTCCTTTCTTAAAAGATACTAGAACATTCTTAGAAATTCTAGCTTGGAAGGGAAGACGTGTTCAGTAAGAAATTACTGCTTTGAACAGTAAAAAAAAATGCCCTGAAATCACAATAACTTAGCAACTCAAAAGTACCTTTTCTATTTTTATGGGGTCTTGTAACAGGAGCTGCTTCTTAGCTGTGTTCCTTGGGAAGACTAAGAATTTTGAAATGTGGGAACTGGGCAATATATTTTGATATTTAGTTACTGGGCTTGTCAGTGTAAGAGTTCTTGTCTTTCCTATAAATTTTTTATGCTTTGACATGGTTAGAAGGAAACCCAACTTACTCTTTGGGTATGTTTAACTGCTAAATAAGTTTTACTTCTACAACCTCTTTATTTGAAGATGATGTGTTTTACTTCAAAAATATTAAATGTATTTAACTGACTTAAAACAGCTCTTTAATTATATTCCCATAATCTCTGTATTTTGGATGACATTTTGTGGATCAAAAATGCTGACTTTGCAAATAATGGCATATATGTGTTGCAGAAGTAGCAGTCTTACTAATGTGCTGGATTTATTCCTTAACTTTTCTTTGCAAGTTATGTTTGTATCCAGCTTTGCATTTTTTTAATACGCTATTTATTGTTTGCATAGATGACAAACTTAATTATAAAACCGTCTTCCTCAAAATAGTATTTAAAATGGTGAATAAATACTTTTTTCTTTCTTTTAATTAAGACTTCAAAGACTGCAGAAAGCAGACAGTTGCTGGCAGAGCAACAAAATGAAACCAGTTCAGGACACCGGGGACCAGTAACTCCAAAGGGACCTGGAAGGCCCAGACGACCAAAGAGACGTGGTCGACCAAGGATGGGTGGAAGATCCAGGTGTTCTGGAAGGCTTAGCAGACCTGGTCAGTCCCCTTCAAAGTCACTTAGTAGTGTGTCAGCAGAACACAATGTATTCAGAAGAAAAGCTAGGTTAAAAGAGGTATGGTTCTCTTCTGCAATTACTTCACAAGTGTCTTCCCCCTGCCCTCTTTTTTTTTTTAATCACTTCTTTTCAATGAATCATTTTCAAAAAAGATTTTGTTGGAATTTTTTTTTACATACTTGTGTACTGACAAGATGAAAGCCTAAGATGTCTTCTCAGAAGAAAACATTAAGTTGTCTTTTAAGAAAAAAAATACTTCCAGCAGAACAGTGGAAAAAGAGAAAATGGGATCTCAGTCTGGAAAGGGGCTTTTGACATGTAGATGTACTCTTGCTATCCTTTTTCTGGAGATGGAAAGTTACTAGCCACTAATATGTATCTCCTCCAACACAGTAAAAATCACAAACCCAACTGGAGTTGAACAACATCAAAAAAGAAAAAAACCCAAACACCCAAGTCCACAAAGAAGGTCTTGGGGGAGGATAGAATGGGGATTAAAATCCATGCAACTCACACAGTTCGCTCTTTTGTTTCCTGTGTGTTGTAGATCCTTTATGGCTACTAAAGCTACTGAGGTTGCTGTTCTTTCTATGAATTGGCAACATCTGTGGGACTGAGTTTTGTCTGTAGATGAGTAGTAACTGTTCTGAGGTTTTCTAACTTATCCTGTTTTGGTGTTAGTTTGCATCTGTTCTCCAAGCTGCTTAAACATAGGGCGTATCTTTCAGAAAAAAAGTAGTGATATGTTCTATTCTGCAAATGGGATGCATAACCTGTGGGCTGCTTTTTCCTAATAAACTCATTCTGGCTTTTGACAGCTAATACAACAGTGTGATAATGAAGACTTAATGGAGCTGGCTCTCCCACGTCTTACAAAGCTTGTTACAGTGTATGAATTTCTGTTGATGAAGGTGAGTTTTTATGTAAAAATGTTAAATTACTTTTGGGACGCTTTCATTAGTATACATAAAAAGATTCCTTTAGAGACATGATTGAATTTCCTAAGTTGGAACTGTGTGGCACGTAGATGTTCCACACATCACTTCAGTCTTACAGAGGCAAAACTCTCCTAGGTCTCAATGCAAAGCCTTGCTTTTTGCTGCCTGGTTCAGTGGCATTTTGAACATTCCGTAATCTTTTGACTTTAATGTTTCTGTTTTAAAATGTTGAACAAAACAAACTTGACAGATTTTAATTTCATCTTTTTTAAAATACAGGAGAAACGAGCCCTTTTTTTTTTTTCCCCTCTTATTTCTAGGTTGAAAAAGGATATCCAGCCAAAGCTTACTTTCCAGATGTGTATAGGGAATTTGAAGACTTGCATAACATGGTAAAGAAAATGGCTTATGATCACCTCAGTAATTCTGATTCTGTGAGCTGCCAGCAGCCTGTTGAAATAAAAGATGCTAAGGTAATAAAGCACTCTGTTTGGAACCATGATTTTTTTTGTTTGTTTGTTTGCTTTTTTAATTTCCTCTGATAGGTTTTGTTGTGCTGGTGAATTTGTTTGAAGAAAACATGATTTTTGGTTAGCAAAAATAGACATTATTGTAAAAAGTCCAACAACTTACCAAGAAGAAATGAAGAAGAATAAACTAGAATTGTAGTTTTATGTCAGTGGATACAACTAGAAATATAAAAAGCAATTCTAGCAGTGCTGATACCTGCCTTGCATATCTAGGGTAGTATGAAGCTGCCTGTTACTGAAAGGTGTATTTGGCATTAACTGCTGATTAAAAGTACATGCTGATGTTTGATAAGGAAGGAAGGTTTATATTTAAAATAAGTGACCTTGATTTAAAGCGATAAGTAGTTTCATTGCAAAATGAGGACAAACTGAATGCATCTATGCAGTTCACAGTCATAACTAACAAATGTGAAAGGCAGTGAACACATTAATAAAACTGCAAACTATTATTTTAGTGATTTCATATTTGTTGTTTATGGAGCTGCATCTAGGAAGACAGATGGAACCTCTTTCTTGCTTCTCTTCTGTGTTAATGTGCATTCTTAATATAGAATGATGCTCTTTAAAAAAGAAAACCAAAACAAGACTAAATCAAAACCCAAAACAACCCAGCCTTGATAAGATGAAACATAGGAGTGGAATGTGAGGAGGGGGGAAAAGAATCTTTAACCTACTCGGAGATACTCTAAACAGGAAGACTTTAAATGTTTTTTATATGATAGCCTCAACAACCTTCTTTATTAAACTCTGCTCTGAGTAACTCTCTCTGGATTCTATATATAACCATTGTACTCCTGATTCTTTTGAGTTTGCCTGTTAATAGTCA